CTTCTTCTTCTTCTTCTTCTTCTTCTTCTTCTTCTTCTTCTTCTTCTAAATGTTCACTTATTTTTGAAAAAGAGCATGTGAGCTTGTGAGGGGAGGTACAAAGAGACAGGGGGACAGAGGTTCCAAAGCACGCTTCACACTGACCCATGAACTGTGAAATCATGGCCTAAATCTCATGCTCAACCAACTGAGCCACCCCACCTCTGGCACTTCTGATTCATCTGTGCGAGCACAGGGGATCAGACCAATAGAGAGAGAGAGAGATAACCAAATGCAGTGTGTGAATTAGGGTCAGACTGTGATTCAAAACGAAGCCATAAAGAGCATTAAGCAATGGAAAACTAAAGTAGTAATTATTAAATGACAGGGAAATGTAAAATTTTCTTAGATATTATAATGCTACTGTGTTGATGTAAGAAAATGTCCTATTCTTTTAGGATAAGGATATACATATGAAGTATTAAGGGGTAAAACGTGATGTTTGTAAGTACTTTGAAATGGTTCAGTTAAAAAGAAAGATATAGTTACAGCAAATCTGGCAAAACACTAACAATTATTGGAACTACATGGTAGATGTGTAGGTGTTTATTAATACTGCTCTTTCAGGGATGCCTAGGTGGCTCAGTCCATTAAGTGTCCAATTTCGGCTCAGGTCATGATCTCATGGTTCATGAGTTTGAGCCCAACATCGGGCTCCATGCTGACAGTGCAGAACCTGCTTGGGATTCTCTCTCCCTCTCTCTATTACCCCTGCCCCACTTGCATTTTCTCTCTCTCTCTGTCTCTCTCTCTCACACACACACACGCACACAAACACACATACAAAATAAATAAACTTTAAAAAATAAAAATACTGCTCTTTCAGCTTCTCTGTATGTTGGAAACTTTTCATACTAAAATGATAGGGCAAAGTGGCATTAATAAAATTACTGAAGTTCTCAAAATTTTTGCAAAAAAATTATTATGCCAAAGTGTCATAGACTCTAACTCTAAAGCTCTCTTTTGGCCAGCAAAAGAGCAGGATGCAGGATGAAAAATGAGAGATGGCTAATGTCCGGGAAAAGACAAGAGACCCAAATAAGGGTCCTTGCCCCGTTTTTTTTAGGATCAGAAGGCTTACAAACATGGTGATGGATGTGCACAAAGAGACAATGAATCTGTGCACATTAACTTATGAACATGAGGGAAAGGAGGTCTTGAAGATATTCAGGGTTAGGGGTTTGGGTTAATACAAAGCAAAATCCTGATGCCGGCAGTCGGGCAGAAAGTTGTTTACAGGGGACATGAGGCACCACCTCTGTTTATCTTAGCTAGTCTAGGGGAGGAGACAGATAGGACACGTGACCTCAGGGTTAACAAGGCACCTTTTTTTTAATAATCATCTCTGCTCTGGGCTGCTTCATCTCCAGCGCAGTGGTCTATAGCCCAATTTACCTGTTTACCTAACTTGGTCCTTCCTTCCTGTGATAGCAGCTTTCTGCTATAGCACTAAATTGGGGGTGCTTCCGCCCTGCATATCTAATCTTATTTTTTTCATATACCGATGTACTGGGTGCCTTTGCGCCTCCCTATTCTTGGTTGCCTTGTTTGTTTACCCAAACTCGGGTGTTAGCATCCTATGGCTTTGTACTTCTTTATTGCCTTGTTAACCCATTGGCAAGCCCGGGGGATTCCTAAGCTTATTCCTCACACAAAAGTCAAAAGTGAAAATATTAGCAATTTACTATAGGATAATTTTGTCAGAAAAAATTACACTCCAAAAATCAATTTGTAAAAATTATAAACATTTCAATTATAACTTAATTTGCTAAAGTGAAATAAACTTATTTATATAATTTTGGAGTTTATTTTTTAATATAACATTTACATTTTTAAAATTCTTTACTGTCAAATGTTGTTCCATGTGTTAAGTACACTCACTTTAAGTAGCCTTTTCTCTACTAAATAGGCTAAGACTCTAATTGCCAAATTATAAAGTGTGTTTGCAGTATGCAGGTAGGTGGCAGCAACGTTCATGAAAACAATTTTATACAATGGGTTAAAAGTCCCCATGAGTTCTTAATTGAGTGCTACATAGAAATCTTTACAGTTACCTCTGTGCCAAGTGTTTGATTCATAGTTGCTGTTGAATTCTATTATATATATATGTATATATATATATATATATATATATATATATATATATACATTGTTTCTCTTCCCAAGAACACAACAGGGGTGACTGAGTCAGTAGGTAGAGCATGTGACTCTTGATCTCAGAGTTTTGAGTTTGAACCCCACACTGCTGGTAGAGTTTCCTTATAAAAAATTTTTTTTAATAAATAAAAAGAACACAACAAATACACTATTCTCTGGATCTCCATTCTGTAGCCTGTAGTTTACTTCTAGTCAGCATAATTCTGAAAAATTAGCTTTTGTCATTTAAAACATATTTAGGGGTGCCTCGGTGGCTCAGTCGGTTAAGCGTCAGATTTTGGCTTAGGTCACAATCTCACAGTTTATGAGTTCAAGCCCCACGACCGGCTCTGTGCTGACAGCTCAGAGCCTGGAGCCTGCTTCAGATTCTGTGTCTCCATCTCTCTCTCTGCCCCTCCCCTGTTCGCAGTCTGCCTCTCTCTCTCTCTCTCTCAAAAATAAATAAACATTTAAAAAAAATTTTTTTTAAAGAAAGAAATAGGGGCTCTTGGGTGACTCAGTCCATTAAGCGTCCGACTTTGGGTCAGGTCATGAACTCACAGCTCATGAGTTCAAGCCCCACGTCGGGCTCTCCAGCTCAGCACAAAGCCTACTTCAGGTCCTCTGTATCTTCCTCTCTCGCTGCCCTCCCCTGTGTGCTCTCTCTCTCTCTTTCTCTGTCAAAAATAAAACAAACATTAAAAAAAAAAAAAACTTTCAAAAAGTACAATTAGATTTTCAAAAGTTTAATACTTTCTGCATTATAATTTAACCTTGCAAA